CACTAAACTCAAGGTAAAAACAAAATAACATTTCATTAATACCAAAGAAAGAGTTAAAATAAGTTTTAATCCATACATAGAATGACTACTCAAGCTACATATGTTCAGTAAAGAGCCACAAATACAAGGGTATTTCCCAACCATTACAAAGACAAATGAGAAGAGAAGAAGAAAACCAAGGAAAATGAGAAATGAAGCTCCAAATCTCCTTCAAACTTCAAGCTCAAAGCTCCTAAGCTTTAAAACCTCTAAATCTTAGCAAAGAACTCCTCTAAACATGTGTCCTTACCACCTCAGCGATGATCGCCATGTGTCATTGTCACCTCATCTCTGCCTACCACATGTCACCACCACATAATTCCTCCTCAAAAGTGACTTCTCCATGGCTTGAACCCGAGACCTTATCTGTGGGCGTATACGGCTTTACCAGTTGAATTGCAACGAACCTATTGACTTACTATGCAAAATTAAATATATATATATATAATATTCTTTTACACAAACAATATTATATACATATATATTATTAAAAAATAAAAATAAACTATATGATAATTTTTATCATAGCTATTTTAATGACAAAATATTTTTAAATATTTTTTTACTATTTATATTATAATGTTTTATTTTAAAAATATTTTTAATATAATTTTAATTTCCAATGAAACTAATTTTGAATTTTAAATCATAAATAATTTTTTCTTAAATATTTCTTAAAATTTATTTTTTAATTAACATTGATAAGATATCCAATTTAATTATATATATATATATTATATTACATTATATTATATTATCCATATATGTTTTATATATTTGATGAAAACCATTTATAGTTAGCAAAAAAATCTAGTTATTCAAAAAATAACTACTATAATAAAATCTAATAAATTATTATATTAAAAAATTAAATGATTTGAATAGATTATAATAAACAATATTCTCCTCTTTGTATATGTATATATCCTATGTAATTTATTTTCTTAAAATTCTTTATTTATATCATTTGTTTTTGCATAGAAGACCAAAACCAATCTATATTATCCGTATTAATTATATCACAATTAAATTTTATTATTTAATGATTGAAATTCAAAATTCACTTCAATATTAGTTTGTGTTCATATAAACTCATTTTTTGGTTTTGAATTTCTATTATATATTATATCTTTCAATATATTGTACATATGATAAAATTATTTCTTTCTTGTATCAGTTTGTATAAGAAAATTATTAATATTCTTATTATTTTTAATTATTATTAATAATCAAGAGGAATTGATTTTAATGAAATATAAACAAGTTTTCTAAGAAATTGTCTTCCTATTCTCAATATGTACCTAATGATGACATGAATGATGATGATACCTTCATTAACACCAACTCTACAAATATATCAATTTGTTTTACAATTAAAGATATATTTAAATCATTATATTCTTAATCATGTTATTATATAAATTGTTGTAAGGTTATAATCTAAAATAATGAAATTTAAAATTAGCGACGGAATTGTGACGGAATTAGTGATGAAAACTTCTATGACAAACAATTTAGTGATGGAATTATGAAAATTTTTGATGAAAAAAATTCCGTCGCTAAATATTTATTGACGGATTAGCGACAGACAGAAATTTTGTCACTAATCCATTGCTAAATTTAGTGACAAAATTTCTATTAGTAATCTGTTAGAAATTAGCGACGAAATAATTTGTTGTCAGTAATGAGCTGTTTTTTTGTAGTGAAATAAAAAATGTACGAGAGAGAAAGAAAGACGGAACTTTTGACAATCTTCACTGGTGAGCTAACTAAGGGGTTTGTCGAGAATGGATTGGAAGTTAGCAATGCTAGTGTTCATGGCTTCTAGATTCCGATGACTGTGTGTGTCCAACTTTGGAGAAAATAAAAGGCGAAGAAGAGAGGGGAGGGGAGAGATAGAGAAATGAAAGAAAAAGTGAGGGTGTGTGATAATGTGTGAGTAGATGACAAAGTGAGTAGTGAGAAAGAAACACGTGTATGCTTAGTGGGATTCATAAAAGAAAAAGTGATGGATGTTAAGGGTAGTCAACAAAAATAGCATTTTTGCCCCGTTTTGAAAAATTAATGAGTATTTTTACCCCTGACATTTTATTACGGTGCCTGGTGTTTCTTTTTGATAGTATAATAGGTAAATTTTTTCATTCATCCTATCTCTTAAAACTAAGACACATTATTGAATTCATTCAAAACTAGATATTAGATATTTTTTTAAAGTTATTTTCTTTTTGAATCAAGGTATTTTTTTTCCTCTGGGCATCAGTATTCTCCTATTAAAAATAATCATATTCAAAGCACTGTCTTCTAACGTTTAGTGTCTGCCAATACCTCAAATAGAATTGCTTCCAATAAGAAAATATTTGTACATCAAACATAATAAAATTTAATATATTCAGTCATCAACATTGAACAAAAATATATGAATTGTCAGAGGGATTTTTAGAAAATAATATTTCGATATCTTATCTAAAAATTGTTAATAACTTTAATAGTTTTATACATACTTTAATACTCACTTTATTTAATATTAATTGTTAATATGATCTGACATAATTATCAATTAGAAAGAATTATAATTAGTTTTTCCCCCTCAAATGACGAAGTGTTCCGATCTCGTCATTTATCCACTTTCTTATCCAAAATTAAAAAAGTTGTTAAATTTTTAATTGATTTGAAAATATTGTAACATTTTAATTAAATTAAAGAGAAATGAAGTGGCTATTAAAATTTATAAAAATAAAATAAAAAATCATCTAATATTATTACTGCTGGTAGGGATGGTTTTGTGAAGAGTACAAGAAGAAGAGAGGAAAAAGAAAGTGGTGTACGATGTCTTCAAGGTATGGGCAGCACTTTCCTTCAGACTTAATTTGCCTCTACCTATTCTTATCTCATAGGATGCAAGTGGGGTTGATTGGCAAATTTCTTTCAGGATACAATGAAAACTCTTGAATATAGATTGCACTTCCAAGATTCAAGCGAATAAAACAATGGCCTTTACAAGGTGATAATTTGACTCTATCTCTACGTTCACTCAAAGACAAAGGCAGTCAGTTTGATCTTTGTGTTTGAATTGTGTTGTATCCAAATGAAGTGATGGTGACGGTTTTATACAGACCATGGAATGATGTCTTGAAGAGATGCCTTTTGAAATAATACTTTATTAAATACAAGTCCCATATGTTGGTTCATGAACTAACATAATTTAAATAAATAAAATGTATTTAATATGTAGGGTCTTTTATTATTGTAACTACTTACATAGCCTTTCATATAAATATATTAATTTATATGAAAACACAATTTTTCATATAAATATATTAATTTATGTGAGAATACAACTCTTCAAATAAATTTATTAATTTATATGAAGACATAACCCCTCAATAAATTTATTAATTTAATAAATTTACATAAGAACATGACTTTTCAAAAACACATCTCTTCATTTTAAAAATATTCCAACAATTACCAGGCAGCTTATAATTTAATAGACAGACAAGAAAATGGGAAGAGACCCCTCAATAAATGAAATAAAATGCCTAATTAAAGGTTTTGTTTTCCTTTGAGTTATTTGAGAGTTATCCAGCTTGAGTCGTGAGGTTGCGAATATGAGTGATTTTCTTTTTTGGGGAAAGAATAAGAAAAAAGTATTTAATTTAAATCATAGTCTAATGGATTTGATGATTTTATGAATCTATTTGACATCGTAATTCTATACATGGACAGAATTTTGAATTTTTCTAACCGTACAAGGAGAAAACTTTTTATATATTTCTAAGGGGTGTATTGTTTATCTGTCCTAATGACCCGTTGCACTTACTAGGCAGCTTATAATTTAAACTTTTATTTTTCAAAATGCATCCTATGGCACAGGAGGGATGAACAATGTGCTCAAAGAATAACCAAATACCTCCTCCCTCACTCCCTGCTCCAACACTCTAAAACAATTTTTCAATAACATATAGTATCTTAAAATAATTTTTGGTGTATCTATCACCATAATTAATATATATTTTTAGTAATATTCAGTATCATAAGTGTAGAGAGTACTACTTGCTATTAGAAAAATGCTTTAGGGACAAAATTGTACTAAAATTTATTTTAGAACATTAGGGGCTATAAAAAAATACTTTAACATGCTAAATGAATATATAAAAAATTAGTTTTTGATACTACATACCATAAAAAATACTTTAGAATACTAAATATAATTTAACACAATTTATTTTTAGTAATTTTATATTATATAAAATAAATGTGTAAAGAGACTTTTGTCTCAAAATATAATACTACTCGAGTTTTTATTATAAGTTACTTATAAGTTATTCTCACATACCAAAAACTGCATTTATGGATACAATTTTTCAAACACACCCTCATTAAAATTTTCTATTTCTCTTTATCTAGAAATCATTCTTACCTGGTTTTTTCTTTTAGTGAATTAGTGATCCCAAACTCGTGGCACTAAACGGCGAATGCGTGTGCCCATGTATAAAGCTGCAATTAATGCAATCAATTTGCCCACCGCAAGAGTTTCTTCTTTTTTCCTTTTTTTTTTTTAAATTTAGGGAAGCCTGTCTCCTCCTTAATAATTTCCTGCTCACCAAGACTCTATCTTTCATCCTTTCTTCAGTCATCACATTTCAGAATATTCTTGCAGGTAACAACACTTCGCTCTCCTTCTCAAGAAGAAACCTCCCCTTCTCTCTGTATTTCTTACTTAGATCTGCACTTATCCTTCCTAATCTATCCTATCCAAGCCTCAAACTCTTTTTATCTTGTTGTTCCACCTACGCCCAATCCAAGTTCTCTTCATTTTATGCTTGTCTTTTTCGTTTAACACGCAGATAATATTCTTCTGCGTAATTAATTTTGTCTGAGACTGGATTAAATCTTTAGATTTCCCTAATTCTTTCTCTTTGATTTGACTTGGTTTTAGTTTGAAGGAGAGATTGGTTGAAATGACGAGAAGGAAGATAGCAATAAAGAAGATCGAGAACGTAGCTGCGAGGCAGGTGGCTTTCTCAAAGAGAAGGAAAGGTCTATTCAAGAAGGCTATGGAGCTGTCAACTCTCTGTGATGCTGAGATTGCTCTCTTAGTATTTTCAGCTTCGGGCAAACTCTTTGATTATGCTAGTACAAGGTATCTTTTCTCTCTCTATATAATGTATATGTGTGTACTATCACTAGGAATCAGAATAATCTGAATTTTAATCACGTCTGGGATTTTCGTTTTTGTTTAGAGGAAAATAAATCCTGATCTTTATTTGCTGATAAAGAAGCTGTGATAGCGTATGCTTTTATTCGTCTCATTTGTGCTCTCTTCTAAATTTGTCTATATAATCTCCATCAGTTTTGATAGAGTGAGATTTCACATGAAATGGCTCTAAAAAGCACAATAACTCAACCTAGAATCCAGATTATTAGCACACCAAGTTTGACCCATGATTCATTTGTCTATTCTTTTTTAAGTGTCAGCATTTATGTATCTCATCTGTTTGATCATCAATTACCATGTTCATGTTTCGGCGAAAATTACCTTCTGTTGTGCCAGTACAAGGTATCTTCTCTCTCTCTCTCTCTCTAATTGAAATGATTTAGGTTCAAGTTGCTTCCACACAGTACTTCTCTTGCTGTAAGAAGAAAACTTGAACTAGACGTGCTGACCAAAAAGTTGTGATATAGTCCTTTTGTGTGCTTTTATATATGTGTGTATCTGAGAATTAATCATGTGGGTATAATTGAAAATAATGAGTAATCTCATCATAACTGTGTTTTGCTTATACCTTTAACTCTTTACACAATGTCTTGAGGTTGCTGCGAAAATAGTTTGAACACTGAAATCTTGATAGTCTTGGAAGAGACTATGGAATTTGTTCAACGTTCATGTGAATAATATGTACAATAATCAACGTTTAAAACTTAAAACAGTACAAAATAGTGGTTTGAAAATAACGAAAACGACACATATATGGAGGAATATTAGATTCCATGAAGCTGCTTCAGTTCCAGAGGCTTTTGTTAATGTCAAGATGCTATTTTTCCTCTGGGAAAAAAATATGATCCTTTCCATAACGATCAATATAGTTACATCAATTATTTAAAATCTACAAGAAACTACGCTATTCACAAGTCAAGAATAATGTATTCGTCTTTGATTTCTTTTGGAAACAGGGGGGGAAAAAAAAAAAGGCCCACAATACGCTGTTCAAGCGGTACTGCATGTCCTATATAGGCTGTATATGAGATGGTTTTTATCTTATTATTTTAATTCTATTTTTATTCAAAATCACTTTCAATGGTGTTGGAAAATTGTATGTATTTTTTTTACTACGTTGCTTTCAAAATAAAAAATATCAAAAGAAGATTTAAATCTTCTAGTTTAATTTAAATGGTCTAGAGAAGTACAAATACGGCATACTTTTAAGAGGCAGGGATGTTTTCGTTTTTTGGGCAATAGAGAACATCCCAAATTAACTTTTAGTTCATAATTCTTTTTTCTTTGTATTTTTTATTGATTAATTAGGTGGATTAAAACAGTTTAAAGAGGATTATGAGAACATGCTACTAGAACAGTCGGGTCACTTTTGCTTTGAAGATACTAAAAGTTTTGTAAGGCTATCAGCTTATCACAGATTGCTCTTGACGTTTTCCTTATTGTCTTCATATTTTGATATCTATTAATGGCAATATTTAAATGTTATAATTTTGAATGAGTCTATCTTGAGTTAAGATTCGGTTAATTAAAAAAATGCTATTATATTACACATTATTGTCACATATATATCTCTAAATAAAACACCCATCTGTAATGTTTGGCCATGGAAGCCACTAAGAATAAATTCATTGGTATATATATACATGACTGATTGGATACATAAGCAAATTTAATGCTGTATTTAAATTCACTTATTTTAACTATGACTTCCATTGTGCCCCTCCCCACAGCAAAAGTATGACTTCCATTTTAATTTTCAATATTTTTGTTGTTTTAAGCACGAGGCAAGTAATTGGAAGGAGAAACCTATACTCAAATGTGAACCTTGTGAAGTCATACCAGCCACCTCAAGAGCTACAGGTATAATTTTTCTTCTGCTCTCTACCCCTTCATCTATTGCTGTTTTGATTCATCTTTCTTTTTCCCATCTCTGTCTGTGTGTCTGTATATAAAAAAATCTTACAAAAATATTTTTGGTTATAAGACATTTTGATAGTTTCAATGAGCATTAAATATTTCTTCCCATATATGCCCATATTTAATAAGGATAGTGAGAGAGAATAAAAATTAGTATGATGTTGGAATTTAGTGTGATTAATAAGGATAATATTAGAAATCTCTTAAATTTTATGACAAATTCAATGCTTTTAACTATTTTTATTAGGACTTGGAAATTAGTTAGAAACGTCTTATAATATGGATCAGGGGGAGTACAATATACTTCCCTCACCCTAAATACTCGAGTTAGATAAGTAATTTACATACATTAAGAAAATTAAATTAGTTATTTGTTAAAAAATGTGTGTTGATTATCCTGAAATATCCCCTCTAGTCACTGGCATTGGAAACTACACTCATTGATGAAAACTCCTTTTATTTGTGTAATTAGGATTGCCTTTACTAGAAGGATATTAATGCCTATAAAAATAGAGATAATTTCGTGAAAAATTATAAATTTGGAATAAAAAATGAGAGGTCTGCTTCAATTAGAACCAAAATAAACCTCTTAACTAATATTTAGGAAGTATATTATATTACTGCAATAATTATTCAACAGTTACTTCTTTTTTAATTCAAGGGTATGATGCGCCATATACATACCTAATATGAAAATGCTTGGAGTATACCAAAACTTTTGTCATTGAATGTGGAAAGCATATGGTAATTGGACAGGTTGAAGGTGAATATTTTATGCTAAACAAGGAAATAGAAGAGAAGACTCTTGAAATAAGGTATTACTATTACCATTATTAAATGGTGTTAAAGATTTTATTATGGGGGATGTACAATGTGTTTATTATAGATTCAAATGTGTTGCTCCACATCTAATAATAGACAGCTCAATGGGAAGATCTACAAGGGTTGTCTGTAAAAGATCTGAGGAAGCTAGAAGATTTACTTAGCACAAGCTTGCATCGAGTTTCAAAAGCAAAGGTTTGTCTTTTCCTTTTATGACAGTAATACAAAAATTGAAATATTTTATGATTTTTTTATTCCGTTAATTACAGTTATCAACTGTCAATTAAATAATGGCTTATTTGAGAAAGAGGAAAAGTAACAAAAAAAAACCTGTTGAATTTCAAAATGACAGCTAAGTGATTTTGATTGATTTTGACTTGCTAAAGTCATTACAAGAGTAGTCCAAACCACTACAAGAATAGTAACCATGGCCTATTTGTCTTTTTGAAATTTAACATGTTTTTTTGTCCTTGTTGTTTTCCCTTTGAAATAACTGTCTCATATGCAGAGGCTAATTTGACAGTTATTCATCTTGTTTAGCTCATAATATTCGATTTGTCCCTTTTATAATGACAAAACTATATATTATATTTCAAATATTCATTGCGGCATAAAAAATAGGAAGTGAATGAAATAAAAATTAGATAAGGTCAAGATCTCCCTATTCTTTTATCATTAGAAAGGTCAATTAAAGTCTCTTTATACTGCCACCTTTTTGTTCTTTGTTTTTTGGCTACCATGAGGCTACCTTTTTTTTTTTTGGGGGCTATCATAAGGCTACCTTAATCCATGGTTCCACCAAAGAATGTTAGTAATGATCTATAATTCTTTCCCCCTTTTGTGAACATAATTTTAAATCGCGGATCAAAAAGCAACTATATCCTCATAATAAAATGCATAATTTAAACATTTTCTCTTGTATTGTGTTTCAACTTTGCCTCATGCTACAGGGATCGACGTAACCTAAATAAATTCTAGTTTTAATGCTCTACGTGTCCTTTAGTTATAGGAAATGATTTTTCCTGTTTGATGCTCATTTGACCCTTCACCTGTGTAAGATACAAATTAAAGAATGCTCACAATGACCGATTTAAGACACTAACTAACCTTATCCGCATTCCTTTTATAATTGATAATGAGCAGTCTCATAATCCTCATATCCTATATATCCAAATGGTACAGATATAGGAAAATCATTCATAGTCCTCTCAAATCTCTGTTCATAAATCATTTTATATATTTATAACTATAATTTACCGAATATGCCAAATATGACTTAGGTTGACCATTATAACTCCAATAAGAGAAACCTGATAAATCTAACCCAATTACGGGATGCTTTTCATCCCTTAAGTATTCCAAACGTAACTGAATCATAATTGAATTAGATCCTCTTTATTCTTCTCAAAACTCATTGACAACTTGCCTGTCATTGTATGTTCCACTAACTTCGCCAAGTATGGGTTGACAAGATGGGATGATATTTTGGGGAAAATCCCAATAGGAAGGGAATACACATATATAATAACATAAAATGAATCACTATATAAAAGATGACATACATATTAATTAGATGATATCACAAACACCTAGAATTCATTATTAGAGAACCACTGCACTCTCCCCCTTACCTATCCTGCTTTTTATGCCATAAAGACATCTCTTAGCCACAAGGCTTTCTTACTATACAGACTCTGCCTTCAAGTTTCTTTACCACAAGGGTATAATTCTTTGCCAAAGAGGCAATATTTAACTATTCAAGGCTCTAACTTTGAGTACAGATACACTTATCACATAAAATTACATAAAATAAACTAGGCACGCAAACAAGACAGACATATAAGAAGGGTAGGATTGCTATCTTGTGCAGAATTGACAATATCAAGGATTTTGTTGTGATTCCCATACTGGGGAGTCTTGCAAGTGTAGCATGGTTTACATGTTTAATGAGCTCTTTCTTCTAATATACTAGTTTTTTGGGATTGAGCTCTCCTTTGGGCTTGTACTCATAAGAGATTTCCTTACTATGTGTTTTACAATAACAAGTGTTCCAAATGAAGATTATATCAATAATCTTATACGCCCACACAAAAAATTGTCTAGTTTCATGTCTTTTTTCCTACCTAAAATCTTAGTAAAAGGATTAATATTTTAAAATATTTTTTTATGAAGGGGTAAATATATCAAAATACATCTTTTGTAGAAAGATATGGTTTAATCTCTTGCAAATCTCTTACTTTCCCTTATTATACATTCTAATGTTGAGGGGACTGTTTTGTACCATAGTTTTGAAGTTATATATTTCTGCCAAAACTTCTCCTTCACTATACATAATTAGGATAAAACCTCAAAACTATATATTTCTTTACAAGTTGGGCCCTACAAATTTTCATGTGAGTTCCTTTTAAATTATGGGATGTCACATTAACCTCGTCTTCTAACTCATCATTTAAAAAGCAGAATTTGAATCAAATTAATAACAGGTAACTGCAACTAAGAAATCAAAAATGAAACAACTCTCACAATTTCAAATTGAGGAGTTGGAGAAGTCTCCTCAAAATTCATACCTTGGTTTTAGTATCCCTTGAAAACAAATCGAGCTTTATACTCTTAAATGCTTCCATTAGTAAGGGCCGGGCCAAAAAAGCTATTTTTTAACATTTTCAAATAAAAAATATATAAGCCATAATGGTAATGTTCTTGTTCCAAAACCACATACCCTATAATGGTAATCCCTTTTAGTTAATATGAAGTTTTAGTGGCTATTAATGTCTCTTGATTCACATATACTCCTCTCTTAATGTTTTAAACATGCCATTCCCGGCATAATTACTTCAGAGGCAATAAAATCCAAAGTTACTCTTTAATGATTTTATGGGGTCCATTAGTTATATTTTTATCCTAATGGCAAATTAGAACACATCTAATCCCACTTTCCCAATCTATATTCATAATCAAGATTCCCTTTGTCAAGGAAAACCATAATCCTCCTAATTCATAATTAATATTGGCCAAGCAGCAACTAAACAAATACATGCGTGTTTGAACAAACAAAATTAACATTAAGCACAAATAATTGATTCAAACATGCTCTGATCCAGTTCATAATAACTTCTCTATGTTAACAAAACATTAGTCATGTTAAATGAAAGAACAAGAGGAGTAGAGTAGAGTAGAGCGCAAGAGGAAGGAAGGAGTACCTAGGAGAAAGAAGTCAAGGACACTGCATTGTCAGCAGAGGAATGGGGAAGGATAAAACCACAAACAATTTACCCCGCATAGAACAACCAAGCTAAGTGAGACTTTGAGAGTTGAAGGAAGATTGAAGAGTTGAAGCTTGACAATGAGATCAGCAGGCAGTTGGTGTGAGGATGGAAGGACTGAAGCTCTCTTGGTCTCTAGTAGTTGAATAATTTAAAAACATATATTTAAGGGATGGCCTTTTAATTATTTGACCGAAATGGGCCCAACGTTTAGCCCATTTACTCATTTTGGGACCTAATTGTTAAGCCTGCTGGTCATCAATTTAAAAGGGTTTAAATGTGTTGGGCTCTAACAGCTCTACCCCTCGGGACCTTATAACATTTCGGCCTTCATGAACATCTGACTCCCACGCATGTTGAGTTTTATGGATGCTTGAATCTCCTCCGTCGTAGCACTTTGCCACTCAAATTTTTCTATTGCTTCTAAAGAAGTTGGGTGTTGGCGTTTGAAACATACACAGAAAAACTACAAAATGCATAAATTTGCTTTTAGTAAACATTTGAATTTTTTCGCGGTATTTCACTAGAGGATCTTCATGCTGAAGAACTGTTGATCTTGTGGTACTTCTTTCACTAGGTGAGGAAAATGAGAAAGAATATGGACTTGACAATGGAGGTTGGCGTGGCTTGCCTATTGTCAAACTCAGTCTATAGGGATTCAAATAAGAATGGCTCCCTTGTTAATATTCCATTCCCAACTAGCCTCTTCATTGCATACAATATTCCTGCTAACTATTACTTGTAAGATTATACAGATGACACGCTTTGGTTTGACTACTCTAGCCAATTTAAAATTTAGTTTTTTCTCTCCCTATTTTTCGTCAATTCAAGAATGAAATTTAACCTAAACATATGCTAGCTAGACAACTAAGAATTGTAAGTGGCTTGCCTGAGGCTTCTTGCTTTTCCGAGCTTCATATGGGTTTGATTCAAAAAGGCATTTTTTGGATAGATGATATGCAATGTTATTCACTATGTTATAAAAATTAGAATTTATTGATACTGTTTGCTGTTCACTATAACGTTGCCTCTTCTTTTTTTCATTTGTTTCTTTACTATTTAGCGATAGTAAACAGTTATGATGCGTTTGTTCTTTCTATCTGTTCTTCGATTCCATGGTATGGGTAAAACGCAGCTTGCAATATTTAGAACAGATAGAAACTAATTCTATATGTTTCAGGTCGAAGTATTTGAGCAGGAGATCAGTGTTCTAAAGAAAAAGGTTAGCGTTATGTTTGTTTATCAAAAGAATCCTATGCATTATATTCAGCCTTTTCCTCAGTGTTATAATGAGAAAGTATTGATCAGAATTAATTCCTTCTAACTTAACCTTTTATTTTAGTAAATAATGCTGCCTTTGGAATTCTGAAGTTAGTAAAGACAAGGGTAGAATAAAGAAAATAGTAATTATTTTTATCTTCAAATTTTATAATGACAGATAAATATAAACAAGAATTTTCTTAAAAAGTGACCATCAAAAAGGAATGGAGCGAGTAATTTCCGTGAGCCTTCAAATAAGCCCATAGTTAATAGAGATTACAAAAAACCACAAACGACATGCCTCAAATTAAAGACACGTAAATTCAACATACATAAACTCGTACAGAACTAAAGCAGATTTTTGTTTTCAAATTTTAAACACACAACTTTATCAAAAAGTCTATACTTACCAATGTCAACAACTTAAACACACACAAAAAATGAACTTAGCACATCTGATTAAGTTTAACCATAACTTTGAGTTTATATTTACAGCATTTAATGTCTTGTGGTAATATAATATGCAATGTAGTAATGTCTAAGGCACTTCCTCCATCCCATATTTTAGTTATAGTAACATCTTACATTAATAAAATATTTGTTAATCTTTGGAGCACGTTGTGAGTCTTCATTCATGTCTCATATTTGTTTTAGTAATGCGTTTTAATTTTGACGTCAATAAAGGAAGACGGACTCAAGGAAGAAAACCAGAGGCTAAAGAAGGTTGTCAGATTCTTGTCACTGATTCTCTTGGCAATTAATTTCTCATTAATGTGTCTTCATAGTGATAATATAATGTCTCACTTTCCATGTTTTTAAACTTAATGCCAATCCAGTTCACCAAATCCATGGAAGAAAACCAGAGATTAGATCAGGTAATGAACAGGTTTCAGATTCTTATGGTCTTTGTTTTTGTCAGTACTGATCTGGGAATTGTATCGAACTGGGAAATGAAATTATGTGTTGATAGGCCCGATGGCTTGAGGATGAACAAGATCAGCCATCAGACGCGCCTCCCACAACAAGGCAAGTTGCTATAAACGCCACTGATGAGAGAGCTGTGTTTTATCTCCGGTTACTGTAGATTAGTTATTTTGCTCCCTCAAAAGTATTTGGTCCTAAATATAGAAGTTAGTTAAGAGCATGGTTTAGGTTTTAACTGTAAGTCCTAAATCCATTTTATTTTACAAATTTATAATTCTTTTTTAAACAATCATGTTGGTTGCAATTCTAAAGGGCTTTTTATTTTTATTTGTTTATTGAAGGTAATTTTCAATGCAAATGAATGAATCTGGTGTTTTAGGTAAACTAACACATTTATTATAGATAACAAACCTCGTTTATCATTCTCAATAACTGTAAATTAATTATCTAGTACTTATATATATTTAAGATCATTTTATTAGATTATGCTTTGAATGGGCCAAGTGCTCGAGATAAGCTTCACTTTTTACAACTTGTTAGTACTCCAACTTCCTACATTTGCGTGTCTATGTACATTTGATATGATATTGTTAACCTCATTAATGTAGTAGTTGTCCATGACGATGAAGTTTTTAGTGTTAAGTCCTGTGGCTTACATGAATGATTTGCAATCCATGTGGGTGAGTTTAATTAGTCTAAAACTCTAGACAATTAAGGTTATCAAGTTTCATTAATCGTTATTTTATTTACTGAATCGCAGGTTACTGTTTCCCTGAATGAAATTAAAGCTTCTGAAGGAAGAAGCGCAGTGGATTTTTTTTTTTTTTAAGTTTTGTGAAAAACATTCTTGCCTGAAAAGCACAGTGCTAGATTTTAAATTTATGAATAGTGGTTGTACAATAATGGAATTGTATAGCTGTGTGTAGTTGTTTCAACTTAGCTGTTCCTGGGCTGCAGTGAAGTGGTGGAACTGTGCTGTTTTTAATTATTATTCATGAAGAAAATAAAAATAGTAGTAACCCATCCGATCAATCAATGCTCATTATTTACTGTATAATTTAACTGCTCTTGACAATATATAATAGGGATAATTATTATGAAGTTCCAAATAAGAAATATAATTACTAAAAAGTTCTAGTAATAGCAAAACAGGCTACAAAGATAAGTTTCAAAGACTTACTAGTAATTTATTTTAAGACTTTATTATAATTGTCTCTATATAATATAGAGAAGTGTTCAATCCCACTTGAAAAGTAAAAATAAATACCTGTCAAATAGATAGGGTTGATTAATTGTTGGGCAGGTCATTTGCCTTGATCGGTGTTTCACATAAGAAAAACTTTCAAATAAAGTAACTATATTTGACAGTTTTTTTTAAAAATATATCATCGTCATGTAAAATAATTTTATTTTAGTATTTTTAACTGTCAAATAAAAACACAAACTTTAAATTAGATTTAAATATTTGACGGTTTCTAAGTGTTAAATATACAACTTTTTTGACAACATACTTGAATTATCAGTTATTTATGAACACACACATATATTAGCTTTATATGCTATAATTTTTATAAATAGCATGCGTATGATATTACTAAAACTTAGCACTAGTTTTATATATAATAATTAATTAAAAATCATATATTATAATTCACTTTTTTGGCAAAAATATGTATATTATAATTCCTTTTTAGGTTCTCTTAGTTTAGTGCCTTCCCTTTTTTGTTTGGTTTATACAATTCAAACACCACACACACACACCCCCCACAATATCAACACTCAACTCAAACTCAACTTTATCTGAAGGTGACATTATTACCATTAAGGCAGTTTGCCATTGTTTTGAGTCATTCCTTAAAGCCACTAATTATTATAAAATATAATATAAAATCTAGCCCATATTCTTTATTTTGGTTTATCGGATGCATATCTAGCCCATATTCTTTATAAAATATAATATAAAATAATTATACAACACTTGCTTTTACATTTTTGCTAGATTACTTTTTCTGATTACTAAGTAATAGGTTACATAGGGTAAAATTTATAAATAGTAAAATTGGCCAAAATATTTAATCAAATGATTGTAAGTTTAGATGTCAACACTGTACATGTAGTAACATAATTGGGAACGATCTATCGTTTGCCTTTTGTACTCAAGAGTAAATTAAAAGAACACTCCAATGAAGCATCAATACTTCAAATTGTTTGATGTATTTGTATTGTATTATACCAGATAATCATACACCACAATACTTTATACTATTTCCAGTCCTTAATGTAAAAGTTAATTGGAAATTTAATTTAATCTTAAATATAAGATATAAATCCACCTCATTTCACATATTTGTCCTTTTTTTCTTCAAAGTAATCCTTATATTGATTGCATGTGTTAAAGAATTTATATTAAATGATACTACCTCCGGTCCTAATTATAAGAGCTAGTTGACTAATTTGAGGAGATTAAGAAAATAAGTTAAGTTAGTTATTTGTAATAAATAGATGCTATCTTTCCTAAAATATCCTTGCTAATCAAGTGTATTGCCTAGAATTACCATTAGTAGAAGGACTATCTTGGAAAAAAATACATAAATATGAGAGACAAAGTGGATTGGAGTCTTATAATTAGGACCAAAATAAAAGTCAAATGAGATCTTATATTAAGGACCAGAGGTAGTAGTTTCAATACACATGATTAATAATGATATTTTAGGAAAGACAACACCTATTTATTATAAATAATTAATTTAATTAATTTTCTTAATATTCATACAGTTATAGGATCAAGGGAGCAGATACATACTATTGAAATTGAAATACTTTTTTAAGAAAAAATTTAAAATTTTTTATACATGTTGGATACTCCTAGAATCTTAGTGGATACTTCAAGACATTTTTATACAAAAATTAAATTCTGCTAAAGATTATGATGTTTTTTTTTTTTTACCTGAGCTAAAGATTATGATGTTAAAGCTTTTCATTTTATATAGGAGGGAAAAGAATAAGCGGAAATGCATGGAATTAGCTGGCAAAAAGGGGGGATGCATGGAATTACTTTGATGGCGCTAGAAAATTTTAGAATACTATTATGTTTGCTTGCATATGACGTCAAGCAAGGGAAGATGGGTTTAAAATAACCTATAAGCACAATTCATATAATAAAACTTCTCTCATATATTTATCTTGTATTTCATAAATCACGATTAAAAAGTTATTTATAAACTATTTCAAAAGGCTCCAAAAAAAGATTGGTATTACCTCCATTTTTTTAATGGAAGAACTAGACAACTAACTTACAAATATTAAGAAAATTAGTCAAGTTTATTATTTATAATAAATGCGTCTTGATTTTTTTAAACTATCATTTTTAATTATCTACTCCTCCTCTTCTAAATATAAGATCTATTTTGTAGTGTAAATTATACTACGAAATAGGTTACACTAAGAAATAGATCTTATATTTAGGATTAGAAGAATATATTTGAATTACCTTTTGATAGGAACTCCTTAAGAATATTTTGGGGGAAAAATTATAAATTTAAGAAACAAAATAAATTGAAATTTTATATTTAGGATAAAATTTAAACTCCCAACTTGTTCTTATATTAAATTATGTATTTTTTGGTATTCAGTAGTAACAAAGGACTATATTCTAGTCTACATTTGTTTGAATTCCAACTATATTTTTTGTTTGCTTTATAAATTTTTTCATGAATATATAAACGCATCCTAGAAGTATCATATCTTATACTTTTTAAGAAATGAAAATGTCGACGTGTTGAATATACATACATCCATACATATGTTTATATGTACATCACTGTATATGCATTTGATTCATATATGGCATTTGTGTATCAGAAGTAAATATACACCTTGATTGTGTCTCCCCAAAATAGGAAGAAAAATTAGTTTAATGTTACTCATATGGATTCTGATGATAATATAAGAGGAATTCTTGGGTACACCACCTCATCTATGCTCTGGCCAATTAGAATATAACAAGTCACCACATTTTAATTTATGAGGTGGCTGCTAGGTCATCTCTAATTGTTAAGATTTTAATTAAAATATAATTATAAGTTAAACTCAGGGCTTTCAACTTGCATCAGAAAATTCCCATAGAAGAACCCTAATCTCTACATTCAATGATGATTGCCCTCTTCCTGGTGACTTGAGACGAAGCTTGAGCTCTTCCTGGTGGGTAAGTTAATATGCGCCTTCCTTTTTCTCTTATTTTTGATTGAACAAGAGGCTATTTATCCTTATCTTCCTCTTTCTGGTGGCTGTCTTATAAATTAGAGACGAAGTTTGAGCTCTGAAAGCTGAAGGTCTATTGACGATCCTCTTCTTATCGTGTTTTGCTTCAATTTGCTGCTGGTAAGCTGTGATTTATGGTTACAAATAAGTAATGAAATCATTTTTGAAGCCAAGAACCCTAACTTAAAATCAATTTTTGGAGCTTTTAAGAACACTTTTACGGTCCCTGTGTCTTCAATTCAAAAGTTTGAACCTTGCAATCACCAGAGCCTCTGTCGATAAAAATCATTTCATTGTGATTCTTGAGGTTTCACTTGAGACGAGATGTTTGTGATTTGACTTAATCGATAATGAATTGAGGTACAATAAGACAAATCCTACCTATCATCAACGCATTTGATTCAGTTTATTTATTATTTTTCCAAGTATTTGTATTTTGCCGGTCCAAAATGCTATTGAATATTTGTAGATTGCTGGGGCCTTGAATCAATATCATTGTTTATATCTTCTACAAGGCATCTTCATGGATGGTGAGTTTAACTATATTTGTAATTTCAGCTACCTTGTTTTGTTTATGTTAAATCATTTTACTTATGTTTGTAATAATTTCTATCCAACCTGCACGTATAGATTGTTTTTGATCTTGTACTTCAAGCACATAAATTCCTCTTGCTTTTGAAAATACGAGGTGGGTTGTTCCAAAATATTATATGATGTGGTTGTCATGGTTGTCAAGATTGGTGATAATTTTTTTTGGGAATTTTGATTATTCTGTTTCTGACTCTTTACAGAATTTGTAGGCCTAAATTCCATTTGAGTGAGTTGTCTATGAAGATCATAAAGAAACTTACCTAGTTAGTGTCTGTATGGCTTTCTGGCTTGACATCCTTTGCTTTTTCA